TTCAATTATTAATGCTGGATTAGTTGAAAAAAAATTTCCGATTGACTGGAATAAAGCTCTAATGTATAACCTTTATTCACTATTTAATACTAATGCATTTTTGAGATTCAAAAATAATTAATGACATTTTTTAAGTGATTATTTTATCTTGTAATTATTGGTGGAAATGAATCCCTAAAATTCATCTACTGCCCATTAATCATCAAATCCAATAAATCAATAATTTGAAAAAATTGACTGGAATAAAATTCCAACGTAAGCATTTGTTCACTATTTAATGCTAATGTATTTTGGAAAATTGAAAATAATTAAGGCATTCCATAAGTGATTATTTCAGCCCATAATATAATTATCATCAAATCACATGAATCAGCGAATCCCATGATTGAGGCCGATATATATTGATGACGATATGATCATTAAAGAGAAATCACTCTATGTGCACATTATATTATACTTTTGAAATTCTTAAATAATTAATCCATAAAATTCTTAATACGTCTATTAATCGTCAAATCCCAAAAATTAGCATATCCCATAATTTAGTCTAATATATCACGATTTACTCATTAATAGAAATCACTCTATGTGCACATTATACAACTTTCCCTTATCCCATAATCCGAATGCATAACATAAAAAACTCACATTCATTACCTTCATTGATATACAAATAATTTCAACCACCTCGATCGACCTCCCGTAACAGCAACACGGTCCATTTCATAATAGACTTGACAACCGAGTCTGACTGGAAAGTCAATGTACGAATGCTAAACGTATGAACAACAAATTTTGGTGCAAACTCATCCTTCTAAGCTTTGCTAATTAATGAACAGGTAGACAATCCAATTTTAGTTGCTTTTAAAATTTAATGCATCTTATTTAATAGTTTCAGTTCCTTTCAAGTTATCAGTAAAGTTTTACAAATTTTTTCATATAAATATTTATTCTTACCCCGCACATCGTGCGCGTAACAACTAGTATAATAATATTTTGATTTCTCGTAAATTTTAATTTATTGTATTATTTTAATTGAAAATAAAATTTTAGAAGTGTATTTTCAACATTTATTGTGTTCTCTCTTTTATTATAAAACATTTATATAGTTTCATTTTCAATTGAAAAAATATAATAAATTGAATTTAAAAAATTAAAATACATTGTAATAAGGACCGGATGGAATATTACTTTTCAAAAAAAAAAAAAAAGCTGTAAAAATATGCCTGCAGTTGGGGTGTTGCTGTCTGATTTGATAGCAACCGCGGACTAAGCTTTCAGGAAGTACTTTTGGTTAATAATAATTGGAAACATGTATTAGTATTATATTTTCTAGAATTCTGTTGAAATTATAAATATTAATTATTCCGTAGATCCTTCAGTTTAGAGACTATGTTTGTTTTGATTCATTATTTTCTTTATTCAAAAAAGTTTTCTCTTAAACCTCCAATCAAAGAAAATAAATGCAAATCGAAACCACCAAAATTCACGTCACTTGCAAGACTCATTTAATAGGCTTATAGCGATATCATCCATGAGTTGTCACTATGGATTATGTGCTTCAAATTTGACAAATAGCCAAAAGTATGGGGATAGAATTGAAACCTTTTCAAGGACAAAAGAATCAATATCAAAGTTGAGAGGCCCATTGAATATATTTTTCTCCATTAAATTAAATATTATTCTACTATTTGCTTGTTTCCCACATTTGGAATAGTGGTCTGGTTTCCTACTCTTTGTGGTGTTTCACGAGAAGCAGATTGCTATCAAGGAGTACGTCACTTTGGCTTCGTATACATTCTTTGGTCTTTTCTTGGTAAAATTAAGGAAAAAGATTGGTAAGAATAATTCAAAGTCAAATTGGTTCGAAAGATGCATGATAGCTTCACTACTTCTACTGTTAAAGCCCTCACCGGCCAAGATATATATATATATATATATATATATATATATATAATCACAAACTTTTACTAATGTAGTAATGATAGAAACAACAAATATATTTAATATAATTAGTACGTAAAACGTAGAACTGAATGAGCTTAATTACATATACACTCCTACAAACACTCTTAATCACATTCAACCTCTTAAGAAAAAAAAATTAAATAGTTGCACTTTCGCATGTCACTAAATTGTTTTTGTGAGATAAATAGTCTTTCTTTACAAGTTATAAAAAAAAAACCAATATAATCAATATTACCTCACAAAAAGAAATCTATTCTATTTTTATTTTTATTTTTTTTCAGTAATAAAACACAATGATAGCTTGGAAGAACCAGCACAATCGTTGGGTCACTGATATCTCTTTGATTGCATTGATGAAAAGTGAAAACGTGAAAGTCCAAATAAATGCACATATATAGAGATGTGTACAGTTTCCAGACAAGGGACTTTTCGTCTAGTTTATCCTTGCATGAATATGATTGGATTTGAGGTTATTTTGTCTTATATATTTCGTCAAAAGGTAATTAATCGACAAGAAGATCAATAATTACATTTATAGGATGCTAAACGTGTGGTTAAAATGTTAAGAAGGCGGCTTTACTTAGATTGGGGGGAGATCTTCTTTGCGGGGTAAAAGAAAAGAAATACATGTTTGCTTAGTTAAAATAGCAAACAAACAGAACTGAGGGGTTTAACTCCGAGTGGCTTTGTTTTTTGTTTTCTTTTCCAATTTGATTGCCGATTGCTGTGTTTCTTAGGGTTTAAGGTGATGAATTGCCCTCATCATTTTAGGAGGGGAGACATAATAAGGAGGAAATAAAACACTTTTTTTTTTCTTTTGTCAATTGATTGAGGAGCAGAAAAATAGAATGGAGAAATACATAAATTATCAAAGCTTTAGATTCTTCGAGTAATTACACATTTATGCTGAATAATTCAACAAAGTACGTACACTATCGAAATGGGACAAAGCCACGAAAGCAATAACTCAAAGTTCCAAGACCACATTATGTTTGAATAGAAGGTTCTCTTAAGTAATATTAATATTCATTTATGAATGGCGTCAAAGTTCTGAAACACATAATTTTAAAGAACTAGTCAGCTTGAACGTGTGTTGCGCATATCACGGTAACAATTACTCCCTCCGTCCCATAATTATTGTAAACTTTGTCCAAAAAATTTTGTCCCAAAATTATTGTTTAATTTGACTTTTTATGGATTAAGTTACACATTTGTCCTTAGTAAAAAATATTATCCATAAAATCTTAGTGGTTACACATTACTTATGTAGGGGTATATCCGGTTGTTTAAGGTAAAATATAGTTAAGTTTGACAAAAAATAAAATCTTTCATTTTAGTAAAACTGGACAATAATTATGGGACGGAGGGAGTACTTAAATAAATGAATTGGTTGTACTGATTATTATATCATAAACACTTGCGTATTGATATTTGTTTTATTCTAGAATAAACTAATAAACAAATTTCATCAGACTAGAAAACTCATAAATTAAAGAAGGTAATAAAAAAAACCTAATTCTTATTCTTAAAACCAAAACTAATACAAATGTAGTTTCACTTTGCATATGATCTTTTGGAATTTAGTGAAATCATAAAAAATTTCTAAATAGAGTACACTTAAATAACATAATCAATTAAGAAATAAAGTTTACACATGAACTCAAATAAAATGAAAAAAAAAATTTACAAAATAACTCAACTTTTCAACCGATAAAATAATCCAACTGCAAGAAATGTTGCGAGAAAAATCTTCAGAACTTTTATGCTTTAAAAAGAATTGATGAAAAACTTACCATTTACAATATGAGATTTTTTCGCAATTGAAGAGCTATTGATTGCTTATGAGAATTTGCTGCTATTTGATTACAATTGATACATAAAATAGATACTATTTGGTTTTTTTTTTTTTTTTTAGAATTTGCTATTACTTGATCTCCATGGGATTGTTTAAACAAAATTGAAATATATAGTTGCTAGAAAATGTGAAGTATTTATAGATTTTGATTAAGAAGCGAGTGACGATGAAGGGACTACAATAATAAATTTAAATTTCACTAGTAACTAAAATAGAGGTAAATGAAAGAGGTGAAGAGGTTGTAATAATAGAGTTGGATTTAAATTATGTCTTATAATTAAATTAGAATTACATAAGTAGAGGACTACCAAATCCTTAAAAATATTGTGCAATTATGATATAGGTAGAAAAGAATTATTTGTAACAAAAAAAAAAAAAGAAAGAAAGAGGATTATTATTGTAACAAAAGAAAAGGGAAGAGAAATGTTTCAACTTTCAGATATGAAAATAATGACAGCTGAACCCAATAAGAACCATTGTTTCACTAAGTACAAAGTTGTAAAACAAAGCTTAGAGGTCCACGTAGCAGTAAGCATTCAAACTCTCGAACAAATGGAATTTTTAATTTTTAATAGTAGATTGATTAAAATTTCTGTTATTCAAAACCATGAAGTTCAAATGTTACCGACTGCTTTCTTCGTGTGAATTTAATTAAATATTCTCTCAATTCCCAAATAAGTGTCGTTTTGACAAATAGAAAAATTCCAAAATAAGTGTCGTTTTCGGATTCCAATGCATTTTTTATCAAAAATTTTCAAACATACCCTCAGAAGAAATAATATAATTGGCGACCATTTATTTTAATGAGGTTGGTTGAGGATATTCTAGTAATTCAGCTACCCTATTTAATGTTTTCTTAAACTGTGTGTAAACTCTAGAATGACACTTATTTTGGAACGAAGGGAGTAATAACAAAAATCATTTTACAGCAAAGGGAGTGCAGTAAATAAGTCGGGTGATAAGGAAAAAATTGTAAGAAGATTTAATATTCACAACATGGTGAATTCGTGTGAAAAGATCCATGAAAAAATTGTAAGAAGATTTAGTGTTAATAGATTAAGTTGTTAATTTCAATCATGAAATTTTTACCCCCCCCCCCCCAAAAAAAAAACCCCGCGATTACATTTTGGTCCAAATAATAATGATAGCTAGAAATCACCTACAAGAAAACGAGTATTCAGCCACGCCTGGGAACATAAATTCGAGCCCACAAATGCTTTCTTCCCACCATGAATTTTGCCTTAGATTGTCCATTGAGAATTATATTGATGATTGAATGCTCCTTGAATATCACTCTTCCATATAGAGGAGGGTCTCCCCCGGCTGCTTGTTCCACCACCACATCTTCAACCACATCTCCCCAATTCCTACATAATAGAAATGTCGTAAATCTTTTCCCTATCACACAAAATTCTTAGTACCTTTTTTCTCGTTAATGTGAACAAATGAGATCTTTTGTCTCACTTATTATATACGGATAGCAAATGACATAATTTGTTAGATAAGTTACCGTATAATAAACCAAATAACAGCATTGTTTAAGTAGAGACTGTGCATGTGCGTGCCACCAGACAAACAAATGGTACGTACGAGGTAAAGAAGCTGAATACTTCATCACGAGTAAGAGAGTATCCCTTTGAGAAGGTTAAGAACATGGTTCTTGAATCTGCATTCATCTGCCTCGGGACAAACTCACTCGCATTAGGATTTAAGGTTGCTCCAAAACTCACCGAAGAAGGCGTCATAACTGTCCAATTGCGACCATGTCCGGCTCGTGTTCTTCCCGCCAAGTTGCTACACCGGCTTGATCCCTCGCCAAATGGCTTGATCGCAGGCCTAACATTCATTTGATCATCAACCTCAATGGCTGCATTTTGTCCGAATATCTTGTCGCAAACCGTCTCCATTATATGAGTAAACCGCCTAAACATGAATTCAGAATTGTAACGAAAGAACCTTCTGTTGATGGGCTCATCCAAGAGGCCAACAAAGACAGGAGAATCAGTAACTTCAGTTGGTTGTACTTCTCTATTTCCATCTGGTTGAATGCATTCCAAACAGGAGATTGTTTCGTTGAATACTGCCTCAATGGTGGCATTATCAAATGAATGGATTTTTCTAGTCAAATCATGATACCCAATCTCCTCAAGAAGCAGCCAGAAAGCCATGGCCATCTTAACCAGTTGTGGGTTTTTTCTCATTCGTCCAACCATTCGATTAAAGAGTACTCTTTCTAGAGTATAAAACAAGAGAAGAACATCAAGGTTGGCTACCCCCTCCATTCTGTTTTGTTCTTGATTGGAGGAGACTCGATATTGAAGTAGAGACCATCATTATTAATTCAGAAACTTAGATATGATAATGAAAAGTCTACCAAGTTATTGGGAATGGCAGAAGTTCATTGTGATTAGTACAATTTTAGATTTGCATAATCCCAATGAACTTTGACATTAGTGACAAATTGACTCTTGAACTCCATCGCAAGTACTTGGACCAGTTGCTGTTGAAAGAACAGCTTGAAATAGTTAAGTAGCACTGAATCAAAGGGACGCACCAACGTACTGAAGTAGTACTAACCACATAGAAACTTGCCTGCCACAAAAGTTGGTTCGTAGTTGAAGGGGAAATAAGTTGAATTTATTGAATGATGTGGTATATATGTACATCCTTTTATTACACAATTGCCCAAATCATTCTAAAATGCATAAACTCTTTAGTACAAAGCTACATATAACTTATTCTTGCGACAAAAAGAAAAAAGTAACATTACCACAACAGAAGGGTTTAGAGGACAAAGGGAAGTAGAATTGCAGTTCTTGTTGATCGGAAGATTGTGGCTTCCTAAACAATCAAGTTGTTGGAAATAAGAATCCAAACGATTTTCCTAGAGTCTTTCATAACAGGAGCTCTCCAATAGGTAATTCCAGGATAAGCTAACCAGTGCTACAAATACAGTGGTGTATGCTTTGGTGGGTGTGGAGTTGTATATAACCTTTTCACAGTTTGGCAACGCGGAGCTGTTGCTTTAGGAGGGGTCGAATATATTGCTCATAGCCATCAGGTATGACTGAGTCATTCAACGGATCCCTCCATGCAGCCTCGTAAAGTTTTGGATACACATTTCCGTCATAGCAGCCAAGGATTGAACCAAGGTAGTGATCAGTATAGTTAAATGCATCAACAAGGGCAATAGCATTTGGACGAACCTGATAAAAAAAACCAAATATTCACACATTTATTTCAAATTTTGTTCAAGCCCAGAGGCTGTTCTAAGATGCTTGAAAACATACCTGGGAGTACAATTCTCGGAGCTGATCATTAGCAAGTGAAGCCTGCTTGGGAGTGATGTAGCTAGTTGCGAGAAAATCACCCTGATGTTTGTGTAGAAGGTGCAGGGAATAGACGCCACAGAGGACTTCCAATTGTCGCTTCACCCCTTTGCCTGGAATATCTTGTTGCAGTTTCTCAAAAAACCTAAGTAAAATGATTCACATTTTAGTAATCAAAGTTCAGTCATTCATCACCATTCATATACTTTCTTAGATAAAAGAAAAACAATCATTTGAGTAGAACATTATTAAACAGCCTTTTGGTAAGGAAAAGGGGAAAAAAGCGAAAATCTTAGTCTACGATCAAATTGCTATCAACTTGTACACCTCACCCGTGTCAGAAGAAATCAAAATCTTACAACAAAATAAAGAGAAACAAAACGTTTTTCTCCCCCGTGAAAAAGAAAACAAAAAACTTGTGGAAAAGGATCGACTTTGTGCTCAAAATACAAGGCTTTATGCTTTCAGACATTATAAGAATTGAAGTTAATGGAAAACACACTTGAGAAGAACAGATAAATAGAGCTTACTTGGATACTACAATTAATTGACAGTGAGCAACAGCTGCCTCAACTAAATCTGCTGATAATTCTGCAAAACCTGAGGGTGGAAAACAAGCATATCCATCAGGCAAAACTGACACATACATGAACTTTCTAGGCAAAACTGATACATACATGAACTTTCTAGGCAAAACTGACACATAGAACTTGCTACAAGGAATCAACTTTCAGTGACAGAATAAATTTTAACTAGGCCTGTTGTTTGAGATGTTATTCATTTGTACTTGGATCCCACAAATTTGCTGAGTTCAATAAAAAATACAAGATGGAATATGTAATTTATTTATAAATAAGGAAACAATCTGAATACTGCTGAGTGTTCAGTATGATTTTACCTTCTTCGGGGTTACTGAACTTGCTCAGCTTTTGAGCACAAGATACAGACATTCTAGCAGCCCTAGCCTCAAATGCCTCCAATACAGCATTAGGGTTCAACCAATCGCCCGCTGCAGCACATGAGACAAGCCAAAGTCAGCTAAAAAAGTGATACTGCAGATGAAACCACGTCTAATTTTTAAAAGATCGAGAAACCTTTCTTGCAGCTTAACAGTCGAAAATGTTCACATAGTTCATAATCGCTGATGTGTCGGGAGGCACACACGATTTTCCAAGTTAAATGCATCCTTATTATACTGGTCTAAATACTTTTGAAGGTGGGAGAGGCAAATTTTGAGAATAAAAAAGTAATTTTGGTAAGCAAGATTCAACGTTACTAATACCCTTTTTAACTGCACAACGACACTGCATCAGCTGTTCAATCCTTCCCATGTATGATATCGTCCCCACTGGAGGTTTTCCAGATCCCAATTGAGAGACAGTCTTCATGAGAAATCTTGCAACCTAAAAAGCAACAGAACATCAACCGACATACAACTTAGTGCAAATTTAATTATTGGAGATAAATTGTAAGCTGGCAAACCTATACTTCAATTTTATTTTATTTTATCTCCACTTTGTACATCAAATCAAGAAAGCTACTACCAAGTACATATATCGAGTTGACTCCTTAAAATAAATCAACACAATATGCTTTAGATACATTCTGGATTTTGAATTGATACCTGCAGCATTAACACAGTGTTGTCTCCTTCATAAGTGCAAGCCGGGACATAAACAGCAAAGAGTTCTGGGAGCCCACTACTAGCAAGATAGCCATGGCCTCCACATAGCTTACGGCTTTCTTCAATCCCATCCTGCAATCAACGCAATTGAACTTTTTAGTTGCTGAACTTCTCAGTGAACAAAAAGTATACAACATTGTTGGTTCGCTCATGAAACTCTTTGGTAGATCCCAAGACAAACTAAATGCAAATACGAACGGCCTCGATTAAATAAACATAATATCTATTACTTACAGCAGTGACAGAAGTAGTCAAAGACTTCAACCCCGCTGTACACGCGTGAGCTTCAGGCAAAGTTGAGAAATCATTTGCTTGCAGTCTTTGGGTCACATCCGTGTACAACCATTTTAGCCACTCCCCAACGAATCTAAATGCGTAAGCAGACGCAAGCAGAGGAAAGAGCCTACTTTGCTGGGTTTTGTAATCAATAACCTATACACAAAACAGATCTTAAATACAAACGAACAAAAGGATGATCATCTGACATAGGCATGCGAGAGAATTTGTAAAGCCACATGGACATTTCAGCAGGTGACATGCTCATTTCATCTTTCATGAAGATCAGTTCACAGTGAATGAAAAATCCGATATCACTAGCAGATCAAACTTCCATGAAGGAAATGAATCAAAATAAAAACAGCAACAGCATTCAACCTTCCCTAAAAGTCTGTTGTGGCAACGAGAAATAGAGTGACCAGAAGTCCATAAATTATTTTATTTTGAAACAATTTTTGCAGTGAAATATGATCCATATAGATATAATCAAACCCACGCGGTGGGATAAAGGGTTGATTGTTTTTAATTAATTATTATCCATCCACAGGCAGTAAGAAGTGAAAATTCTAAACAATAACCCAGAATAAACAATAAAGCAGTAAAACCATGCCTTTTCCTCGGACTTAGCTTGGAATCACTTTGTTTCCTAAAAATCTAGCATCACATATTACCAGGAAACTAATCACTTCAAGAGATTTAAAAATTAGAAGGTACTAATACCTGGGTTTCTGGTCCACCATTGCTAGATCCAAACTGCCTACGCACAGCACTGTATCTTGTCGCAATGCAAACAGCACGTGACAAGGCAATCGATGCATCTTGTACAATTGTTTGCCGAACATATACCATAGTACCATAGACCAGTTGCCTCGGAACATCAGATTGCACAATTTTCCCGTCTCTTGTAACCTGTGAAACCCTGTCAGAAGAATATCATTAAACTACCACAAAAATCATATATGTGCAAGAAGTTACTACAGGATTAATGGGAGATAAAAATAATGCAAACTCAGATTTGAGCCATGCAATACTTCAAACTTCAAAGGACCTCGCAAACAACCAATCATCACCCACATCAGGAATTCTCTCATTTAGCTGCATGGACATGTAATCATTGTCTTACAAATTCATGGTTAGTAGCTATTTAATTCTTTTACCCTTATTTCTAGTTTCTTAAAGAATGCATAAAAGCACATTCAAGAAAGACATGAAGTTCTGCAAATGGGGCCTGTAATAAGTATTAGACATTAAACTGTGCAAATGAGTTAGCAACCCAAAGCCACATTTATTTTTCACTCATCAAGAAGTATTACAAGAGAAGGCATATTGCAAACGGCCGTTTTGGTAAGAGGTACACAAAAAGGCACAAGCTCAACATTATATCAGGCAGAAAAGAGATTAGGAAAGTACTCCCCGAAAGATTGAAAAACACCATGAATTACACAGGAAAAAGATGACCAGCCATTCTATGTTTTACAGAATTGTAAGTTATATGTTGGTTCATTTTTTATTTTTTTTTTCCCATTTAGTATCATACAAAGGCCACAAAATGTGCATGCTGCCAGACTAGTTGTTAATATCCAAGCCACTCAAACTAAACAATATTTGCCAAAAAAAAAAGTCAGAAAAGGAATGCAGAAAAAGAGGCAAGAAATACATGGTTACACACCTCATTAACATCTGATCTCTTGGAATGCGGACATGGTCAAATCTTAGTAAGCCATTATCCATGGTGTTGTATGCTCCACTACCAAATTTCATTCCAATGTCAGCAACAGTGATACCTGGAAGAGGTCTATGGTCCTCCAAGCTCCGCAGTTGAACAATAAAACCTAAAGATAGAACGCAAGTAAGAAAAACAAACTCTCACATGTATCTCAAAAAACCCTTCTGAAAATAAGTGTGCCCATATTATCATGGGAAAAGCACATACCATGAATACCATGTTCTTGACCATCAAGTATCAATCGGGCATAGACAACCCCATGAGTCGATACTTTACCCAGTCCACCAGGCCACCACTATTTACAATCATGAAACGAATAAATTAGTAATAGGTTCAAGAATACAGCTCCAACAAACAAAACTATGCCAAAGCAGCTAAACTAAAACAATATGCTCCATGTTGTCCCATATGGACCATAAAACCATCCTTATGTGTGTTCTACAGGTAAAAAAGTAACACATATGCACTAAACTACAGGTCAACAACTTTACTCACTTTGCTAGAGGTCAATGTAGGACTGTGAATCACAAATTCATCTGTTTGTGGATCAAATGTTGCAGTGGTTTCTAGGCCTTGAACATTAGAGCCATGACCAAGTTCAGTTTGTGCATAACAGCCAATAATTTGCATCTTGTAGGCCAAAGGCAACCACTTCTTCTGTTGTTCATCTGTACCCTGCCCTTTGATAGCAGGAACAAACATACCCTGCAAATAACACCAGACCAGAGTGAGACACTTCTACAGATAAAAGGCACACCGGAATCAAAGATGTACAGAGATAATTGGTTATTTCCAAAGCACTTCTTAAAGGGTTCAGCTAAAATATTCAGACTAGAATCAAAAAAGAAGACAAGAAAATTTCTAGAAAAGGAGCTGAATAAAGAACTGAATCTACCCAATGAAGATCAGTGAAGGCAGGTTCATCCACAAAAGATCTCAGCTTGGACGCCTCTTCCTCTGCAAAGTAATAAGATAAACACAACCGGAACTATACCAAGACCGTTCTCATGATATTCAACAAAACCAAAGGGAAGAGTACCTGAAAGCCGAAGCTCATTGATCCTTTTCCATGCATAAGTGGCTTTCCTAAGAGTGTTTTTAAACAAATCTTTTCTGGCAAGCATAACTCTGTCATCCTTGCGGAAGACCTAAATTCAAAAAGAACACAAAAAAGAAAAACTAAGTAAAAATCTCAAATACAGAATGGCATGTCTAAATAACATTAACGTTAATTTTCAGCTCACAGTTTTCATTTTTTGTGATCAAAGTAACTAATTGATTATAAGATAAACCTCCAGACTTGTGTTCACGAACATACTTCTTCATCCAGTAATCACATATGGAGAAACTAACTCCACTAGCAAAATCAACCTAAAGGCAACCGCCACCAATCCAAGAAAAGAGTGTACGAAGAAACTGACAAACACAAGGAATCTAATTTTGCCGGAAAAACAAACCATGACGAAAAGGTGTGCATACTAATAAAATCTTTTAAGCAAAAAGTTGATAAGACACTTTCTAAAATCATCTTCCTCTTCTTTTTCATTCACCCCCAAAAGAAATCCCACGTTGACTCGTTAAGCGAACTAAATGATACCAAAATTGGAAAAATGAAAACAAGAAAGGATTGATTTAACATCCAGCACAAAATCTTTAAAAAGCCACAATCATTTAACACACAAAAAGTACTCCCAGAATTTCAACCCCCCCAACTCGCTTATTCTGGTAATCATACAAAAGGGTTACGAATCACTAAATCAATTATAACAAAGAAACCCAAAAAGAAAAAAGGAGCAAAATTTACAGGATCATTAGCAACGAGCTTGGCCATGCGATCGGAGACTTCAAAGGTATGGCGAGAGCCGGCCCAAACAATCTTCATCTCCTCCACATCGAATTCCGTCTTCTTCCTCTCATCAGCTAAGTAATCCACACCTTCCATTTTCTCTTCCTCCTCCTCCTGGCTCTTAACTTGTGCTACCGACAATGGGTAAAAATCAGAGGAATCGTCTGTGATGATGAATGAATGAATGAATGAATGATAAGGAAAGATAAAACAAAACAGGAAAATTGAAATTGTAGTTCCCGAGAAGCTGTGAGAGATCTTTTGCTATTTATAGAGACTACTGTTGAATAAGTATATAAATCAATGGATATGGGTTTCTACCTCATACTACACCTACTTCGTCTCTGTCTTGGTTTTCATACGGGTCGGCGTTGACTAGTACCCACCCATTTTCCTTCTTTCATTTTTTTATTTTTTATTTTTTATTTTTTTTACGGTACTAATATCAAATTTTAATAAACGAATTTCTTACTACTATATTACATATTCCGACACGATTCTTGGATTATCTCTTTTCTTTCTGGCGTGCTTAATTAATACTCCTACTACTTTTTGGATAATTAATTCAAATGTCTTTGCCTTTTTATAAAAAAAAATAGAATAAAGAATTGGTAGTGATTGTTAGTTAAAACGAAATATTGAAACATATGACAAGCACGAACAATACATACATATATATATATATATATAATCACACTTTCATATTATGAGGGACGAGGTTGAAGACATTGTACTTTTATATGTTATCATTTGATTGAACTATTTGTATATAAACTACCCTTGTCATATTATACTCTCTCAAATAATTAGATATAGTCATTTTAGTTCTGTTATTATTTAATATTTATATGTCAGATAATTTATTTGTTAGCAGGAAACCGGGAACTTTAGAATAAATAATGTAATTGAATCTCATTGATACACCTCTGCACCAGTGTTATTAAGCTCGGCCCGGCCCAGTCGATTGAACCGGTTTAATCGGGAATCGAACCCTAAACCGAGTCGAATAAGGAATAAAATCGACAAAAAAATCAGTCAAAATCGATCAAAACCCCGGTCGAACCAGGAATTGGTTAAAATCGTATCAGACCGGAGTCTTTAATTATTTTGACTTGTTGACCAAAAGTTTGCACATTTCCCCTAATTCCAAGTTCGAATGTCTTCTTTTCAAGGCCAAATTTTTTTTTTTGTTCAAAATAACTCCAAAACTTTTAGTAATTAATTTTTTTCAAAGTATTAGTTTGATATATTAATCCCCATTGTTAATTTTAATTCCTAAACAGCACTATTTTGATTTTTTTTTTTAATTTCACTCCACAAACTAACTTCTGCCATTTTAAGAATCATTTATATTATAATAACTCTAATATATCACAAAAATTTAATCTCATATTCTTGATGTTCATATTGATTATCCTGCAAATTCAATAATTTTTCTAAAAAATAATTTATTTATCTTAATTACTTTATTAGTATGCTAATTTACGTAACAAAAATAATAATTAATTGCTACAAAATGTCAATACAACTATTACAATAGGAAAATAGATATAAAATTAAGTTTTTAATCTTAAATATTTAAAAAAATAAGTATTATTTATTTTGTGAAAATGACATCATCCTAATAGACCTCCCGAGTTAAATTTGGACATATCAAAACCTATTTAAAAATTATGAAATATTAATTTAACTTTAACAATTGATAAATATTATATACATTCTGATTAAAAATATAATTATTAATTAATTAATATTTATTACGTCATTATGATGTCATCCAAGTCGAACTCCCGATTTGCCCGACCCCTTGACCTTGCCGAGTCGAGCTCCAGTTCGAGCCTGACAACACTGCTCTGCACCTCGTTGCTCATTACTTGGAGCTAATTTAGATGCAATGAAACTAAATCATCACTAATCATATTCTTAGTCCCTTATCAGTTTACCTAATTTTTTCCACTTCATTAAGTTGATGATTCCAACTGTCTTATACATAGTGAAATTATATGAAAAGATAGCAATTTCAACAATTGTACTTATATTATTCAATTTTTTAAGGAAATAAAGAAGGGGAAAGAAAATGCAATGTTACACGTTTATTCCGTTTTGTGAACTTTTGTGATTAGGACATTCCACAGATAATTCGTGACTTTGCTTTCCTAGTTGTCGACTTGTATATGTTGTTTTTTGGGCGTCCACAAGGTTATCCAAATATACCCGAATCGGAATTAAAATACAAAACTGTGGAAATTTTTTAAAACCCACGGATATAAACTACTCTTCATTCCAAAAAATAATCTATATAAGAGTTTTACCGATCTCAAAAATCGATATGTATTAATACTTTACTGGAAGGCAACGTCACAATAACCTGCAAATCACTGTCAAAAGTAACTATCTATGAATGTTTGGGTGCAAAAATTTAGATTAACGATGGTTATTTGAATTATTAAGCTAAGAATTTCATTCTTTCCAAAAAAAAAAAAAAGGTTAAGAATTTCATAAATAGAACTTGGTTCACATCTTCCTTCTCAAACTGGAGTTGTTCCCAACGCACAAACCTAAAGAGAGATTCAGCGCATATGCTCCTTCAGTTATATTTTGGACGGCAAATGATCCAAATCCGAAACCAATTAACTATCAAAACATCCGGCGATGCTTGTTTTGAAGAGTTGTTTTGATCAGTTCTGAAAATTCCAAAACACAAACAAAAATGAAAAACAAAAGCATTCTGAAAATTCCGTAAGTTTACCCAAATTAATTGATTAAAGACTGCTTTTTGAATACTGATGAGACTAATTTACCGGATATTAATCCAAAAAGATGATAGTCATGAGCTAGCTTTCAAACAAAACAGCAGTTGAAAAGGTCACACTGACTTCAAGTTTTCAACAGCATTAACATCTGCAAAATCCCATGACAAAATGTAAGAAACTACAAGCAGATGAATACGAGTGCAACCATTAAAAGAAGCACACTAGTAGGCCACAAGATTGTAGCATCTGGAGCAAAAAACGACCATCAAGTATGCTGCTACAGGGGATGAAGGGAATTCTTGTTGATGGGAGTTGGGACACCATTACCATGCAGCAATGTTATGGATTGAGGTAGCTAGTGTAAGTTTGCAATGCCCATCGATCCGAAAACTGAGGCTGCATGTCCTATAATTCGAGAATGGTCAATGATCATATGCAAATTCGCCATTAGAAGAGGTCACTCTTCACCATATGTCGTATCATCACAATGTGCATGCCTTTGTATGAGATCACACAAATGCCGCCAACAAACTCAAGCAGACTAATAAAGGCTCAGAATGCAGCGCTGGCCCAAAATTATCACAGTAGCAGAGTTTCAACAAAACCTTTGAGAAAAAAGACTGCATTCATGTGACAATATCCTCACCCAATTCAATTATCACATAGAGATAAATCCTCTGTCGAATTCCCATGGCCAGAAACTTCCTACTCACTTATGAAGCCTTAACTTGTCAAAAATCAATTTAACCATAGATGTAAAAGTAAAGTGTAAGATGCCAGAAAAGTAAAAAAATCCAACTAAAGCCTCAGTTTATTAAGAGAAGTTCAAGTAAAAGACTTTGACAAGGGTTCAGGAAAACTAAAAGAACAAACACACCACGTGACATAGAACCAGACTAGCGCACATCATTTCATTCAAGTGACGCTACTTATAGTAGAAAAGAAACAAAAATGAGAGATGAATAAGGAGACAAGGTCCTTTCATTATAAACTATTCTTAATGTACAGAAAAAGAGTCTTAAGAATCCATATGTTACCAATATGCAAGATCTACTTGTAAGGAAATCCCAGAGTGAGACTCAGTACTATAGTTGAATGATAGGAAGAAGCGACTTGCTTCTGTGTATGTGGAAAAACAGAAAATGATATCCGCCGGCAGTTAACATGGTTATTAATTAAGAAAAGCCAACTCCTGAGAAGACATTGATAACATAACTGACGACCAGATCATGAACGAACTCAGCCTCTCAGTACAATGCTTCTCTTCTCACTTCAAGACCCAAGAAGCCGTTTAGACCTCAGCTTGCTGATTTCCATTCTAAGCCGAGCATTTTCAAAGCATTTAGACTTCCTGATGCATATGAGGTTTATCAAATTATATCACCAATCAAAAAGGTCGCTGATCAGGAAATTTGGCAATTCCACCAATAGATCAATTGGCGATCCATCAGCAGAACGAAATCAATTCTTGAACTTTGTCTTTCACTTGCAACTGTTAGATTTCCAGAAGTTTGCATGATGAACATGAAGCAAGCTTGAGGATGTACTGCAGCAACTTGATTCTCAGTGTTTTAGCACAGGTCATAGCTGAATTTGATCCACAGTTGGTGTGACCAAGTCCCAAGAGCTATGAATCAATTAGCTGGTAACTAGAAACTGTCATGCGTAAGTTTTAACCTGCACATGTTTCATACTTCCTCATCAGTTCTATAGTTTCTGCTATGGTAGATCCAGCCGTGCCAACAAAACCAAGAGAGGCACAACTACAAACAGCTTGTTCTACATACAACAGTATATCATTAAATGACTGGGGACTGCAACCATCAATTTTCTGTGCAGCATTCTTGAGCTTTCTAGCAGTTTCTTTGATCAAATCATCATCCCCCATCAGAGAAAAAATCTTATAGTCACCAGAATTTTTTACTAAATCACCCAAATAAGTTCCGGTCCAATTACTCATCGGTAAATCAGTCATAACAAATATGTGAATTGGGCGAGGATCTTTGACTTTCAAAGACTCCAACTTTTGCTTCAATGCTAGAAAGGTTGGCTTCCAATGATTCTTGAATTGCCCATCCAATAACCTAAGTTGAGCACAAAGAAAAGGACCCTTAATTTTCTGGAGAGCGAATTCCTTCCCAGAATTCAGAATTTCAGGAACAAAAGGAAGAAACTCTATCTTGTCAATCAAAGACTGTATATGTCGATCATTTGGAGCCTCATGGATATCAATGTGTGACTCAGAGCCCTTATATGGGGCAGTAAAAAGGCTCCCAAATGCCAGAAGCCTGGCTGAATCAACTTCAGAACCAGGACCGAGGGCTTTCAAAACATCTTTTCTTCTCCTCACAAAAGATATATTCTTCTTCTTCTTAAGTTGATCATCCGGTTGAAACGAATCCAAAACCCCATCTTCATTGTCCTTTTGGTAAGTCCACACTGTCGTTCTACAATCCTCATCTAATGCATGCACACATGTATCCTCATTACCATTATATCCAGACAGTAGCAACCCACATTTCCTTAGCTCATCAGAAAATCCACTGTTCAAACCCGAATCCTTCCCACCATGTAGGTGGGTTTCAAAAACCTCAGGACACACGGATCCCATGTCCAAATTGCACCACTTAGACACAAAAATTCTGAAATCAATCACTCTAATTGTTGCATCAGACACCACTGATGAAATATCAATTATATCAGTCATTGAAACATACCTGAAAAAACGCAATATTGACCAACCCCGTCACTAAACAACCAAACAACAGAAAATATCGAAAGATGAAAAAACAGCGCCAATACTGTTTCTTTTCATCTATAACAATTTCAGAACAAGAGAATAACATTGTAAGATCCAATAAATGACGGGATGAAATAACAGCATATGTGAACAGTCCTACAAATCTCTTTTCTACTTGACTAATTTCAGTAAGACTCATAAAAAGGAAAATTCAGAAAACTATAATGTCTCCTATTGTCTCACGAGAAAAATTGAAAAAATATAATAAAAAATAAACTAAAATCGAACTTGCCTCTGATTGTGAAGGAGGTCTATAGAGTGATTCCAAACAGAGAACCTCAGCTCATTAGCACTCAAAACCCTAAATTTGGGACAGCTACCGAGGGCCACGGCATGGTGATCCAAAATAGGGGGAACAATTAGGGTTCGATTGAGGATGGCAGCCATTAAAAGAGCATTCTTGAACTCCGATAACTGGTTGCTGAACCCACTGTGAGGCGCGTACCAGAGGAACTTCTCCTGCCCGATGTGGTTCCGGATTCGGCCGCATGGCGGAGGAAGGAGAGGGGATTTCAGGGAATCATCGGAAACATTGAGGACGGATTTGGGGAATCGAAATCTAGATGAGATGAAGAGGAGAAGCGAGCAAGTGCAGAAGAGAAGGATGAATGCGAAAGATTTTGATCTAGGAGTTTGATAGGGATTCAGCCTTCTCTTCCATTTGCTGCTTCTGATAAGATTCAAGTTCTCCATTGTTGCTTCTGAACATAACAGGGATCAAGAACTTGAATCAGATGAGCGTCTGTGCTGGGAATTTGTCATTTTAGGCCCCCAAAAGTTAACTTAACTGCGTAAAAGGTCCTCAACTCCTCATTACATTACGTATTTCCCGAGTTTTTTTTTCCTACAACCCACCCACCCCCCCCAAAACATAGATTTATTTTTTAACATTACATACGGTCCTTATTACAAGATAAAATCAGTGTATTTCCTGTTCCTCCTCTCCTCAGTAAATCATTGTAACAAAATATTTAATTATGTACGACAAACATGATTGATGTACACTATTACATTAATGTTTTCCATTTTTTTTTATTCTGGAATGTCAAAAAGATATTACTAATTGTTGATTGGTGTATGTTATAACTCATCATATTTCTAATGTAACTGTTTTTTTTAAAAAAAAAATTAAGGGTTTGTTTGATAACACCACTTAATGCTTAAAATTATATGATTAATTATTTTTTTTCATTTAAGCATGTTTGATAACAAAAAAAAATTGAACTTCTTTATGAATTAAGTGGTGCTGAAGCTGTAGTACAAAATATAAGTAATAAAAAATTAATTTCTTGGTTATTTTGTAATTGTTCGATGAATTTCAGCATTTAAAATTCAGTATTAGGAATCTAGATTAAACACTAACCACCATGAATTTGATCTCATCAACAATTTACATATTTTAACTGCCAATCAGTCAATGATGACTATAGAAGTACACTGAGTAAATAGGGTTTGGTTTTATTAAGTGCACTAAAGGACGTTTATTAAGAAAACAATATATAATTATCAGAAAGGATAATGTTTCATTCATCCTGAAATTTGAACAACTATTAGAATAGAAAAAGTATATTGTTTGGAAAATTCCTAAAGATAGTTACTTTGCCATTTTAAAATACCGATAACAAGTGGTGGTGGAAAAAGAAACTTTTTTATTCAATATGTCAACTCTCATTTACGGTATTTATTTTTTTCCTCGTATGCTACATACATATGTAATGCTAACCAATTTAAGTAAAAATATTCACCAACTCTATCATTGCTTATGATCTTATACACTAAGCGTGATGGAGTATCATTAAGTGTGAATAAAGGATAAGCTTAAGTCTTAATTTAAAAAATCCAATGTGAAACAAAAAGAAGAAGAAAGACATGTTTCCGTACATAAAATGCAATTGGCTACCAAGAGCCTAAAATCTGAAAAGGTCCACAAAGGTTCACTTCAAAGTTCCAATTGACTGCACATCTTGATTCATGACAACATGAATAAACATAAAATGCAGTTGACAATATCACCATTTCCGTGATTATTTGAGAATGTTACAAAAACTTCAAAGCCGGAGTCTCTCACTGGGGTGGTTGGAAATCCTGGTTGAAAATTCACAAATATTTTCAAAGCTAATTTTATTAGCAACAAATTAGCATTTATTATATAACATTTTTTTTACCACAGAAATTCAATCAAAGGAGAAAATCGTTTTCTCATCTGGGAATAAACATTTGATTGATTAATTCAATAATCAGAAATACTTTGGATTTTCAAGCTACCCCATTTTTCACTAATCACACTACATGTGTCGTATAAATAGTTTTTGGACGAATATTTCCAACTATGTATGATATATGGCTGAAGAATTAGAAATTAATGAAATGATGCATAACCAGACGGGCAAATTATTACTACCTGTGTAGAAGAAATAACTAGAGTGAAATTTATCTCTCTAATTCTTATGACTAAAGAGGAAAGAAGAGAGGTGGTTCAAACTTGAAAGTGACATTTTTAGAAATCAAGAAAGTTTGATAATGGCAACATCACCTTTATAGAATCTCGAGTGCTGACTTGAGAAAACGCCTAAACTAATTGGACCTTTTGCACTCTTTTCTCGACCAATGATGATTCCATGGTATTTCTCGACTAATCAGTAAATTTAACCATATGGAACATAAACTTTACAGATGGAACATAGTCACATACACTTTTCAATTAGTTCTGAATTCTTAATTTGTATAGGGCCCCCATCCAGTCTTCGGAAACAATTAGTAGTATAAATACTCCAAAAGGGCCAGAAGCAACTTCAGGGTTATTTCTCTCAAAAACATAAAAAAAAAAAAAAAAAAATGGCTGATCATCTAAGAAGAGGTCTCTTCCCCAATTCCCCCTCATTCAGAAGGTTTTCCAACCCTTTCAATTTCTCATTCAACAACGTATTCTGCTACAATTTTAATTTCTTGGGAGCGGATATTCGCCTGACTGAGCATTTCCCTCAGTTCAACATTTTCTCCTTTCTCATTCCCAATTTGCTCAACTTCCTTGTCCTCAAATACCAAAACCAGGCCAAAACCCCTTTCGACACTCACCCCAAAACTGCTTCCTTGTCAGTTCTCTGCATGATGCTATACTGTTTGGCCTATGATTATTACACAAGACTTTCTCCGGTTCGCCGCGGTTCGTTATCCGGGAGCCATTTCATATTACTTCGTCAATGCTGTCACTACTGCGTCCTGTTTTTCGGTTACATGACTCTGGCTTCTTTGGCTTCACTTCTGTTCCCTGATTCGGCTCGGCCCGCCATTTATGTTCTTCATGTAGCGCTTTCTGTTGGTGATCATTTGCTGCATATGGTCTCTCCGAGAATGTTTCGACAGCTCAGAAGCGGCGCAAGTTTTGGGATTTGGAGGAATTTTGCGGCAGAAATGAACACCACCAACCAGAGGCATGTCCTCCCGATTTGACAACATTTCGAATGTTTTGTGCCCCTTGTCGTTAAACCATGTAATCGCATAATATGTTTTGTGTAATCTGATGTTTTACACTTGTTTCAACTGCAATCTGAGTTTGAAGTCTTTTTCTCACTTACCAATTTCCCAATTATCACGAGTCATGAGTCATGAGACCACAAGGCAGGATCCTCTGTCATTTGGCAGCTTTGCTCTCTCTGTTCTTTTCCCGGAGTTTCTCTGCCCTGTTATCTTCTTTGCTGCCCAAATTTATATTTTCGATTGGCTTTCAATTATGCTAACTGTATTAGATAATCGTAATTGATCAAAACAATCCGGTTATAAAACTTGCATGAGATTTTTACCTTATTCGACTTTTCATAATATGATTCTTGACATCAATCATTGATTATTTTTTCGTGTGGTTTATATTGCAATTATTATAGTCAAGCTTGGCAAAGCAGATTAGCGAGGCTACGAGCTGCCTAAAATGCTAATGGACTTGTATTTAAATGTCACCTTAAAATTGGCCGAAACTTTCAAGTTTCAAACAACTTTGTAGCGTTGTGGATCAGTACCGTTATGTCAATAGAGATGATCAGGACATTTGCTCAAGCATATATGGTTGTAGTTTTGCTGTGACTTCTTGTTAGTCACCTAAAATTGTGGTATCATAGTAATATCCCAAACTTATAGTTTGGAATGAATATAGAAGTAACTTTTTGGTATTTAAAAAGTTACTTTTTGGTACTTATAGTTTGGAATATATATATATATATATATATATATGTATATATATATATATATATTTATAAACCTCCTTATTCGGACCGGTTGTCATTATTAGCTTTTAAGAACTTCCATTTTGTTTGGGTGCCAAATTCATATTTCATTGCTGACATTATCGATTGAAAAAAAAAAACTTATTTATTTAAAAACTCAAAACTTATTGAGTTCAAATTAGAATATATATATATATATATATATAAAGGTATAATAATACTATTAATTTTTTAAAATTTGGGGGTGAAGGCCGACCCTGTCTTCATCACCTCAAGGTAGTCTTTCTGCGAGTTGCTCTAATTGTGGTCTCGCAAGAAAAGCAGGTGTAGCACAGCTTATTACGATGTTTATTCCATATGCCACAATCGTGTTTTTCAGATGGATCATGCAGCTCGTGTCTGCAATATTTCGGCTTTTCACAGCAGCCTTCATTCGCAAAAAGAGTTCCCAACTAAGCAATTTTGAACCTGTGGCCATTGTGTCTTTATTTCTTCTTGCACCGAAGACAGATAAGATTAGCAGAATCACAACTGGACCAACAGAGTTATCAAATACGTAGGTAAATAATTACTATCGGTAATTTATATTTAATATGCCTGCAATGAGGCTTACAATTCTTCTCATTGCCTTGATCAGCAAACAAAAGATGTCATTGGTGCTTTTGCCATCGATGAAACAAATCAGAGAGATATTTTGGAGCGGATGAGAAATTTCTTTTTGTAAGGTGCGTGGTCAGTTTGAAGACTAAAGTGAATGCAACTGAGAATCAAATATACATGTTATATAGAAAAAGAATGATTGGCTTCATGATCAGTCATCAAACTAAACAGAGTGGATTGAGTAATCCAATGGACACTCCAACCAATTACAGTGAGCACTAACTATTAGTACAATCTAATTTACAAAGTGAGTTTGAAGATTGAATTTCTGCCAAATCCCTGTAACAAGCATAAATAGTCACAGAAGAAGAAGATAGTGTGAAGAATTGAAAGTATCCTTCATCTAGTTGGTCTTCTCAATATAATTGGGCTATCGTCATTTTTAGTACAAATTGAACTAAAAGTGAAATCCAAACTGGATAATAATTTTGGGACGATGAATCAGTATTTATATTATATTATAGGTTCACTTGAAGATAGGGCCGGTGTTTAAATTGTCATAGAATTGTAAATTTGGATTATGAACATAATATAATGACATTTTCATTCCAAATAAACCAAGCTTCTTACAGATGATGGTAGAGGCTTTGGAGTAGTCAATCAAGGAAAGAGGCAAACTTCCAGCTCCAATTAATGTAATAAAATTTGAACCCAGAGTGAAATTACCTTAGTTCATTTTTATAAAACCGGCGAAAAATTAGAAAATTATAGGGTTCCATGGGTTATTTTGAGGGTATGGTGTCATTAAAATTTAACCAATAAGTAACAAATCAATATATATTCATTTAATGTTACCCAATTTTTAAAATTTTTTTA